GCTCTGCCCTAGCTTCTTGAGTTTTTACTTTATTGAACTACACATTTAAAAGCCTCCATATAGTGGCGATTGACAGATTTTACATATGTGAGGTTTAGAGAATCATCTGCCCCAAGACCCAGGGAATGGGGGCATGACCTATTTATTTGCAAGCCTCAGAGATATTGGTATACATGATTACATTATATTCATGGTTATTAGAAGCCTTGTCTGGATTTTTAAATATGATTTGACTGTATAAGCACATCCCAGTGTTTCCAACACTCTGACTGGGTGTCCTCATCGAGGCCATCTAAAGAGTTGTGATTGGTGAGTCAGTCGGAAGGGCTTAACGATGATGGGTAAAGCACCTAGATCAATGATACAAGAATAGCGTCTATGCAGAAATTCAAAGTTGTAGGCTGTCTTTAGAGTCCAAGATGTTCCCCCACAGATGCGTTTGATGTTCACGTTTTGTCCAGGAGTCTCGTATTATCGCATGAAGTCTTTGACTTGTGATGAGACGAACTAACCATGAAAGTGCGCTACGATGTAAAAGACACATGGCTATGACGGCGCCTTACGTGACTAATACAAATTCGGTTAGGCGTTCGGATTCATAATGGAGACGGCGGATTGAGACGGAGACTGGCAATGAGGTGAGTGATGAAATTAAGGAGAAAGATGGGGAGAAGAATGAATATTCTCGCATAGATATTGTATAGGAATACAATTCGAATCGGAATAAATTGATGTACACAACATTCTGTCGTCCGTTAGATGTGTGAATGTGTTACTTGTCTCGACTGAGAGGAAGGTTGGGTAATTGTCACGGGATCGATTAAAGTGAGGAGATGGCGGGAAAACGGCCATGTCCAAGGGCCCGTCACAACTTGGCTAACACCCGGCATTGCGGCCTGAGAACCGTGGCTATGGCCTTGGACCAACGGATTAAAGAGCCTGAGACTGACGAGCGAGAGACATTTCAAACGCCGTACACCAATACACAGATCCTAGGATATCATAAGTTGAAGGTTAGCACCCACCCAACAACCACCCAACAACCACGTACTACTGTTCCTCGCCGCAGGTCGATCGTCGTCGTCGTCGTCGTCGTCGTCCATATATCCCTCCCCCTCTGACTCTGACTGATTCCCGGAACAGAATCAGTAGAAGCCCTCCTCATCCCCTCTCTCGCCTCTCTCCACGGGGCAGTGCCTATCCTCCTTACCCTCGAAACTGCCAACCCTGGTCCACCACCGCCGAATACCCTCCCGCTGGATCTGCGCTGCGAGGGAAATAAATCTACTATACCAGACGCGGATGCGTCAGCGCCTGCTTGTAAATCACTGACGATACCAGTCGTAAGGAAGAGTGGCTCGAATCGTCAATATGATTAACATATATCGTCCGCATACCTATAGTTGTAGAAATTTGTCTCGTCAGGGGAGGACAGGGATGTTTTCGGATTTGATATAGATGGGGGTAGCGCTAGATTGATGATCGCAGTTACTCGGACTATCTGATTTGTTGCAAAGACCAAAGTTGGCCAAGATGTCATCACAAGAATCAGGGAAAGGAGCTGGGTGCTTGAGCTTGAAGAAAATCAGTCCGTTGTCGTCGCTAGAAATGATTAGACAGAAAAGCATCGTGACAATTGGGTGGAAATACCGGCTGAAGCGAGATCACGTGTGACGCACAAACTCAGAACCTGGGGTTCTCCCGTCGGAAAGTGTTCTCGGCTGTCCGCCTGCCCATGTCCCAGACTCGGATAGTCTCGTCCTCACCACAGGCAATGTTAATCACTGCTTTGGGTGAAAAAGACCTCCCGAAACACAATAAAGCCTGTCACGGCATGTATCGACTTCTCATACTGCAACTTTGATACTCGAGAGCTTGATTTGAACAGCTTCAACGATGAGGTTAATGTTGGGAACCTGGGTGGAAGATGTTCAGTTGACACCACGATCATGGCCTTCCAGGACATGCAATCATTTGACAGTTTCTCAAAGGTGATTACAAGATTATATTCCTGGTTCGGTGGAGACAATGAGCTCCTTCGAGTGAAATTACTGATTCGGACCAACATAATTTGTCCAGTTTCCTGGATGAGGCATGTGAGACATGCGCCGAGACATACCCCCTACGGCTTCCCTTTATGTTTCCTTTTTGTTTTCATTTTTCTTTGTTCTTCGTTTGTTCCTTATAGTCCCAAGAAAACTTCCATTATGTGCTCTTAACCTCATCCTTTTGCTCATCTCCCATACGTACTTCTAATTTGACCTTTCGATATGTAGCTACATGCCTTTCTTCTCTGATCTCGCATATTTCTCATAACCTCTTGCTATTCCCCTAAGATTTAGAATTGGATCACAAAAATATTAATCATGCTTTACACCCCGGCTATTGGGGCCACTTCTGTTCTCCAAATGGACGATGTGATGTGATGGCGAGGGTGGATTACCGTTAGTGGAGTGAGAAGGAGGGAGAACCACGTGGCGTCCGAGTTCGTAGTCCTTGTCTCACTGTCATAGTTACTCATTCATCTCAACGAATTTTAACTCGACCTATGATCCGATGGGCGATTAGCTGGTTTAAAATCACACTCAGCCTCTACAAATGATCCTTTGAGCTTCTGGATCGAGGGTCTTTTCCGGTGAGTGTAATCACATATTGTCAATAGATGATACGTCAATGAACACACTGGGAAAGAGAGACACATGTTTCCTAAACCCTAAAATCGAAGATGGTACTATCCAACTTATATATTGATCGACTAAACAAATGATCGTGGATATATTGATGAAACCACTCACCTCACCCATTCACTATCATCACACTGGACATTTAGGGCATACTTCTTCAAAACTTGAGAAGGAGTATTAAGTATAATGAGTATCGTAGAAGTAAGCGCTCATATGAAAAAGGTGAGACAGGATGTCTTGAAAAGATGCAATAAGGATCAAAAGTTCAATCTCCTCTCGAATGTACTATTGTGTGTGTGTGGTACAATTGGTAAATCTCTCAGAAAATGTTTAACCACTGAGAGTAAGTGATCTGTTGATTGCTTCATTACGAAGTACAACATATTATATGTATTTAGTACTTAAAACATCTTTAGCAGTGTGCAGTGACATCCCCGATTTAAATATGGGGAGGAAATCATCTAAGTAGTGGCAAAGAGCAACTGCAATGTGATGCACAATAATCCAGTGCAAAGTTTCAGCGAATCGGTTACAAATATAGGGTGTGAAATGCAAGCCAAACATTAATAGTATCATGTGATAGAAATTAGAAGCCACGTGGAGACCTACATTTGCCGAAGGGGACGTCCTTGTATTCTCCATTGTATGATCTTCACTTTACATGGGGACAATATCAGAAATCGTTAACCACTACGAATTACCTCCCACTCCAAAATCGACAGTCATCTCAAGAAAAATGAATGGAACTCACAACGAAACTTGAACTGACGACTCTCCATGGATAGAGTAGCGAGACATTCGCGTCTCGTGTTCTCCCCCCAGTGTCAAGCCATGGTAGAGGCAATCGGTCGTATGGCATATGACCCGGCCCTCGCAGCCGACGTAGCGGAAAGACTGCCGCACCGATCACAAATGAAAGGAAGTGGTCTGAATTCGTTGGAAAACTTCGGCCCGTCGCAGGTGCTACGTGTAACGGCCGATTTTCGTCACAATGTCACCCTACCTTCATTGCGTGGATGTTCGACAATATGCCGTCTTGTGTAATATACATAGCAAGTGGGAAATATACCGAGTCTTTTCACGCGTAGATTATAAGTAATTGGTTCTAACAGCGTCCACTCAGGGTGTCAGGATAATTTTCCGGCAGATATTCCTTTCTGTAACCTGCACCACTACGCCATCCTTTCGTCCATAAAAACCCGGAAAGGACAACGATATACCAACCTAAGTGGGACACCAAAGAAAAGGAATTTGACCATCCAAATTGGTCAATGAATGATACAAGAATGTTAGCACGGCCTGATCCACTTCAGGTTATAGGAAAGAGCGGCAGCGATGCAATATATTTGTTTTCTTGCCAAACGTCACCCACGACCTGGAGAGAAGTCTAGGAACTTGGCTAACAAATAGGACCTAAAACTAGGATGCCGGGTGCAACTTGGACACACTATGTATCTCAATGTTGGAGATACTACTTTTCAATAAAAATGCTCCCTTCTCCCTTCTAACCAGAGCCTCATACTGGCTTTTCGGATTGAGAGCCGTATGGTGTTTCCCATCTAACCAGAGGATCATATTGGGTCCTCACATCGGCAGACCAGAGCCTCATCAGGTCCTCAGCTCGATATTCCCATATTGGCGAGCTCACACGGGATGGCTACTAGGTAAGTATACACATGTCTATATAACACTTGCTCTCGCCATTTTTCTTTGCCATTGGATATGGAATCGGTGTATAGGCTAGAAGGTCGTATTCAAGGAGAGAAGTTTGAAATATTAGAAGGAAATGCCATCTATGCCCGAAACCATTACATACAGACAAGGGAAAGCTATTTAAACATAAACGAATTGGGCTAAACAAGTCAAGCCTCATCCACCATCCAGCCACTTACTTCATTTGTTCCTTCCTGCGGAGGTAAGCAATGTACTGTTTCTGTAAAATCGCCAGAAATCAAAAAAATAATAATGATAGGAATGAGGTAGAATTGAAGCTACACAGACATATATTGTTATGGAATTAAGTGAACACGGCTATTGCTATCCGCGACAATGCACAATGAATCCTCAAATGGTGGAGTTGTGCTGATACCCCGGATTCCATTGTCCGCAGAACGAATCGGACCCGGTTTCCGCTCCCAAACATCAGCCTCCCCACCCATCACGAGATAGATAACACATGTGATTGTCCAATCAACCTTCCTACCATTGCCTGAATATGCAAGTTCATGGCTAGTTCATACTTCTCAAAAATATTTCACACGTTTGGAAAAAGAAATATAAGTAGGAAAGAGTCCGTGATTTAATGGGATAAACAATTGCCTCAGGCGGGAATCGAACCAGCAACCTTAAGGCTCTTACCCGGTCAGAGGGAGTGTAAGAGTCTTATGCTTTACCAACTGAGCCACCAAGCCATGAGTTATTGCATCCACATTGTAATATATATTGAACCGTGACACCACCATTGTTATGTTCTGCCTTTGCCTCTGTTATCTATCCCCCATTATAGACTTATTTGTCGGACTACACCTTCCATTTGTTGTAGTAATATTTACAGTGCCAAAGGATAAAGTCACCAGGCTAAGTTAATATATCTTGGGATGCAAAGTTTGAGCTTCTATATGGTTCTGCATATGCATATATCATGTGCTTGGAAAAAGATATATTTATATAGGAAGGAGCCCGTGATCTAACGGGATGAAAATATTGTTTCAGATGGAAATTGTACTTGTAATCTTAAGATTTTTATTTTTCGTCCCGACAGTTTCTCATGTTCTGCACATCTCACAAGTGTTTCTCAGTCCCTCCTATGCCTGATCCCCACTCCGTTCACTGGAACAGTACTCTCATTCAGCTCATATTGCACCTCAGTGTTGGAAGAATGTGGATACGTTGGAAACACCGTAGACGAATACGCCTCCTAGCAAGGAAAATCTCACTGAAAACCGCGGTCGTAGCCTAGTGCACGTGCTCAACAAAATTGGCAGGTATGTATGTCTCTGCGCTCAGATTCAATTGGGACATAATAGCCCGATACGAAGGCACTGTTTAGACACCTCTAACACAGAGAAAAGAGGAAACTACCTCTGTGGGGACCCTCCATCTCCTTGACAATGACGCCAGCCACGGCCATCTGCAATCTGCCCTCCAGTCGAACCCACATGCTAGCCATCGTTCTGCCCATGTCCAACTATCCGCCCATTCCGACTCTTCATCGACACATCTGACCCCCTCACCCTCTTCTCGGGCTACCCCAATCCCTCTTCCATCTGGGCCACAAACATCGCCCGAGTCCATTTATGACGCGTCTATCTCCAGCACGGGTGTATCAGGCAAGGGTCCCGGACCATATTCAGGCACATGACGGTTTTTTTTTTTTTACGTCGACCATGACTTTGTCATTGAACTTGATGCAAACATGTAGCGAGAGACTCCTCCATTATCTCACCGCGACCATTGATGGCTGTCAACAATCGCTCGGCCGCTGCGAGACCCGACTTCAGGCACGCTGGATGACTCGGATAGAGAGAGTGGAAGAGATAGCGACGACGATCACGTCTATGGTAGTGAGAGTGTCAAAATGGCCATTCTAGTAGGCGAAGGACGGGGACGTATCCAATTCCAAGAAACGCATACAATTTCATCGTCATTCATGGAGTCCTCTCTTGCTAAAAGTCGCAGATCACCCTTCAACACGGATACCCGCTCTACATAATTCTTTAAAAGCCTGCACACATCATCCATCTTCTCACCCGCGCCTCGTACCGCGTACACCCGGCGTATCCCTGGCCCAACCAGCCGCTCCCGTTCTCACTTCAGCCCTGAAATCCACAAGTGCCAACGAAGCCCCAGTCCGCGCTCTCGAAAAGCATTGTGCAGCTTCGGGAAGGATCACCCGATACACATCTCGGGAGCGACGAGCATAGCAATGGGGACCACGATGACGAAGACGAACATGGAGATCGTAATGCGCATTAGAACTCTTCGACGAGGCCCCCATCTCCAAAAATCGTGATGGTATCAGGCTTGGGCCTCTCAAACATGAGCCAATGGCTGTTGGGGAGCGGGAGGTCATAAACGTTAGAAGAAGAGTTCCGGAAGAAGACGTCATGTGGACATACTTGGTGTGGGATGCGTTGAAAGAGACGGTAGCGGAATTTTCCGAGATGGTGAGTCTTTGGATGTATCTTGAATTTGTGCGAGTCATGATGATGCTTATGTTGATTTTCTTAGGGGGATGTCCAAATGTTTCCCTTACTTGCTATTGTGGCACCTAACGCACTGGGGGATTGGACCTATACTACAATTCAATTCTTAGTAATCTTCCGCCCTATGAATGATCTCCCAGCTTCAGCTTCACGAACGTGCTGCTCGTGTGCCGAAATATTCCCTCACGAGCTGGTTCGAGATACAACGGCGTCACAATTGTCAGATCCTTTGGCCTTGAATATTTGGGTATCATTCAAATTTTCACACAATCGTGGTAAAACGAGGGAACTAACCGAGGAATATATCTTAATACGTTACAGAGGTACAAACCAATCACCAAAGGCCCTGAAAATGAATGGAGATACATACCCTTTAATTGGTTATGCACCTTCAGCCGACCCACCTGAACATCGCTCATCGCAGCCCAACGCCAATGCCCTCAGCGTGCCGCACAGGCATGTCCCAGAACTCTCACCCGAACGCACGGCCTTGCACGCTCTTCCTCCAGGAACCGAGTCAGACCGTGTGTCATCATCCACACTCGCGTCTTCACACAGTGTATCTCTGTAAGGAACACTATAGTACGTTGTCGTATCTGTGAATATGCCTTGGCTGGGCTGCTGTTGCCATGCGTGGAAATAGCTGTTGTAGGAATTTCAGCGAGAGGACGTGTGAGATAAAAATGCGATAGCAGGCTTGGTGACCTCCGTGGCCGCATGTATCACGGTGGACAAGAATTTTACGGACAGACAGGTGATCCCTTGCACAGAGAGTAGGAGGGATTTACACTTTTCACAAATGGGAGCCGTCCCGGGAGTTGGGATTCTGATGGCAGCGTTACACTGGGGAACATAGTAGTTTTTGCCTTGAATCCAGTGTTACGTGGATGTAAGGATGGATTGGACGGATATATATGGATTCTTACCTGGGTTGTATCACCAACCAGCTCTTAAGGAGCATATTTCCGCACATGACCCAGAAGTGCGTGAAGGTGAAGCCTGAAAAACATTTCTAGCGCAAATAACTACTAAGACTTTTGATACATTATCGTAGGCTCTAGTAGCCCACCAACATATGCACCAACAAATCTCGTTCCACGTATTGGTCCAGTCCCCAGTTTTTTACGTGACACAATAGCAAGTAAGGCAGATGTCCCCTTCAGAAACTCAACGTAAGCATCAGGACTCGGACAAATTCAGGACACTTCCAAATACTCAGCATCTCCGCAAAATCCGCTACCGTCTCTTTCAACGCATCCCAGACCACGTCTGTTCCACATGACGTCTCCTTCAGGAACTTCTCTCCTACCATTTATGACCGTCAGCTCCCCAACGGCCACAGGCCCCATGTTGAGAGGCCCAAGCCTGATACCATCCCGCTTAGCCCCCCCCCCCAATCCTATGAGGCTTTTGGATGTTGTGGAGCATCTGGGTGGTGGAGACTGTTTCACCGTCGAAGAGCTCTGTACGCCGGCCACAGCAGTGAATGCTTCCGGAGTAGATCGAGTGACGGGGGGCGGTCGGTAACTGTCCTGAAACTGCTCAAAGACTCGCGAGAACGAACAAGTGTTGCGGAAGGTGAACGTCCCTCACACTCCGAGCTTGATCCAGAATCCGACTCTGAGTCCAAGCCCGAATGCCCATTACTATCTCCATGTCCGTCTTTGTCGTGGTGATCCCCATGGCTACGCTCGTTGCACGAGAGATGGCTGTCGGGTGTTCCTTCGCGAAGCCTGATACACAGGCGCTAGAGATAGATGCGTCATACATGGATTCCAGCGATGTTTGTGGCTCAGATGGAAGACTGATTGGGTTGGTATGGGGAGAGGGTGAGGGAGTCGGATGTGGTGATAAACAGTAACAATGGGTGGGATAATTGGACACGGCCGGAACAAGGGTGAGAATGTGGGCTCGGGTGGAGGGTAGATTGCAGATGACTGTTCCTGCCGTCAGTGTCAAGAAGAGCGAGGGTCCCCACAGCGGTATTTTCATTTTTGCTCCGTCGTAGAGGTGTGAAACCAGCCTCTTCGTCTCATAGGATGACTGTCTTCGGTGTGACACCTAGGAGCCCAGCCATAACCCTCCAGACTCTTGCTGCGCTACTTTGGTCTTCCTCAGCCCCTCTGTGGATGGATAATGGTTCCTAATCAAAATCGCGAAAATCAGGAAAAATGCGGCTTACCTGTGCGTTAATTTCACACACGCTGAGAACGGTCCAAAGAAGTGCAGCAAGGTTGAGGATCCGTGAATGGGAGGAATCAATGTAGCAACGGTAAGCCACAGTGCCAGCAGTGTGATGTGGCCATGGGACTTTGAAGTTGGAATGTTAGCTGTTGATGTAAACCAGACAGGGGGCACCGGGGCCTTGAGTGTGCGGAGCAGGGGCTTAATTCTAATCATAGTAGGGATGAATTTCAGCGGACAGTCGGAGCCTGTCAAAGGCCGAATCAGCGAGTTCAGCGTCGGGTTGGAGGAGTAGTCGCTTGTCGCTATAGTAGAGATCAATTGCAGTGGTCAGTCGATGCTGTTAGGGGTCAAGTCAGTATGTCCAGCGGCGGGCGGGGTTGATGTTGAATTTAAGTCGGCAGTCTAAGACTGTCAAGGGACAAGTGTGTACTCTTCGGGATTTGCAACCCATTCAATGAGTTGCTTTGTTGAATCGACCTGAATTTCTGGCCGTCCAATTAAACTTCCGACAGGAGTTAGAGAGAGGTACCAAATATGACTTATCTTGTTGTGCATTGCAATGTGTCCTGCCATCAAGCTCCACACGTATAGTACATCTGTAATAGGTGAGTAAAAGTCAATCGACCCGGTAAATCAAACAATACTAACAGGTCAGGCATACAAACCACTAAGGTACGGGTACATGAGTATACATTTTGTCTAATAAGGATGAGAAGATGCTCCAAAGTCACTCGTGGAAGAAATAGCGTGAAGACGATTTGTCCGTCGAATCGGCTCTCGAGGCATTCATCGACGAAGGGGATTTAATATATTTTATGGACATGAATCGGTAGTCCGCTCGGTAAAGCTTGAGTAGTTCTATGGTGGAAGTCTTTAGAACAGAGTCACACCGTTACAACAATACTACTACATACCAGGAATAGAAAGAGTGAAGGCCTGCACATTACATTATCATGTCAGAAATATCTCTTAAAATAAAAGAAATGTGTAGTTAATCCATTGGGAGGTTCCACAGCCTT